AGCATTAATAAATAATAAATGTTCCATTTGATGGTAAATTCCAGACTTTTGCTGAGATTCACAATTTTCCAGTTAAAATTGCTCAGCAGATTTTTATCCATGACTAACATGTGGCATTATATTGAAAATGTAACCTGAATTGCTGCAACAGTCCGGTCAGGAGTAAAATGCCAAATGTTTCTTTGTTCCTGTAATTAATTCACTGGAGGGGGGAGTGATATAGTTTTAGTTACTTTTTCAGGTTGTTGGTGCAGGCTTAAAGCATTTTCAGACTGAGTAAAATTTGGTTGGTATTGCTATAAAACTTCCAGTCTTCAATCCTGCACTGCATATATTTAGAAAAAATGTAGTTACAAGCATAAATATTTTTCTTGATTTACTTTCCTTTCATCTTCATTACCTCTGTTTCTTATTTCTTAGGGAGTAACTTGTTCAGTGTAGTATAACAGTTTATAATGTGCCTTGTGCTTAGGGAAGGTTGACTTAAAATTTGCAGCAGCTCCTTAAAATCTTCTTGCAGCTGATCACTTTAAATGGGTCCTACTCCATTTTTACCTACTTGGTTGTCTATACAAACTATTTTGATATCAAACATTAAAGATTCTACAACAGACCTCATCATTTTGCATAATTTTAAAGGAAATAGTTTTACTTGGAAGTAATTTTTTGCACTGTTAGGAGCTGGCCATTATAGACATAAATTTCCTATGCAGAAAACTTCATCCATGTAGGGATTTCTTTCACACCAAAACAGATGGAAAGATAAATCCAAAAATCCAGTAAACCAGGCACATCTTAAAACCAAACTGACATTCTCCAGGTATCTCTGAAAAGTGTCAAAAACAAAGTGATTCAAAAGGAAACAATTTCAAGAAATTACAGATGTCTGAGGCAGATATTTTCCAAAATGTGTACCCTCACCACTTTGCTTTCATGGATACAGTACACAGAAATTGTCAACAAAATAACCTCAACCCCTTTCAAGAACATCTAGAACACATTTTTTGGGATGGTCCATAGAATGAAATGTTTTGACTCATGTATGTAAATAAATTTACAGAAAACGTTGAACATAGACTCTGATAAGATACTCAAAGGCTTTAAGATTAAACCTACAGTTTAAAGTACACCTCTACCCCTGTATAATGCTGTCCTCGGGAGCCAAAAAATCTTACCGCATTATAGTTGAAACCGCGTTATATCGAACTTGCTTTGATCCGCCGGAGTGCGCAGCCCCGCCCTCCCGGAGCGCTGCTTTACTGCGTTATATCCGAATTCGTGTTATATTGGGTTGCGTTATATCGGGGTAGAGGTGTATGTCTAAACAAGATGTAGCAAAGATCACAGCTCAGGAGATAGTCCTAAAGCCATTTTGAGAAGGAAAGTGAACTTCTTGTAACATGCAGGAAACAGACAGCGACCTGTAATTAAAATTAAACTTTTTTATTTAAAATGTCACATTTGTGTAATAAACAAAACCTGCATGCATGCCCAAGTAAGGCCAGATCTACACTACAAACTTTTGCTGGCAGACCTCTTTCAGCGAGGGGTGTGATTTGTGACCAAGGTACCTGTGCCAGCAAAAGACCCTAGTGTAGATATAGTTATACTGGCAAAACTGCTTTTTTCCTGATATAGTTTACTTTTGTCAGCATAGCTTATTCCAGCCCCCCCTTGAGCAAAATAAAGTTTTGCCAGTTTAAACTGTGTCCAAACTAGGAGTGCTTTGCCAGTATAACATAGATACTAGTCTGGACCTGGGCTAAAACAGCACTGTGCCATGTACCTGTGCCCTGTGTACCTATAATGCCTGTATATAAATCCTTTAGGCTATCTACTTGTTCATCTACATCTGTGCTTATTGTTACTTAAGCACGTAAGTGTAAACATGTATGTATAACAGCACCTCACAAAGAAACTGTATTTTTACCCATATAACATTACATATAAAATGCTTGACAGTTAATCAGAATTAAGAAATGCAAAAGTTAAAATGCCAACAGCAGTGTTAAACTGGTCACATTGTCTACCCAGTGTTTTCTATTCCTGTTTAAATAGTTAATTACTTATCATAGCTTTATGTTATTGTATACCACAAAATATACAGGATATAGAGCGTGACTTAGATTACATTGCTATAGCTGCACATGGCCCTGGCTATAATTTTAAGTCTAACTGCAGAATGTTACCACAAATACTGGAAAGACTGTCCACCAAAATACATAAAGAGTATTTTAAAGGGTATCTTCATAACTGTGAATGGTGCTACTGTACTGACTAATGATTTGCAATGGAAGGTCCAGCTTGATGTTTAAAAGCAGAGAGGGATGCTCAGCGTTTGAATCCATGATAAGCCAAGAGGCTGCCATGGTTGCAAGGCAACTGGTTGAACTATAGTTAGTTAACAAAATACATTAAATTTAAACATTGACTTCCCTTTGTCATGCAATCGTACATTGACCTATCTGTGCCAAAAATAGCAGCTTCTTGTTTAATTATTTTAATTTATATTTAAGGTTCCTACTCATTTTTAGTGATTATTTCTTCACTGTAATGTCATAAAATATATTTTATATTGCAGTTTTCCTCTAATTCTGGCTAACTTTAAAGGGTTTTCTGCATTTTTTCACATTTACTGTGAGCTAACAAAACATTGTTAGTTTCATGGGTACATTTTTATGGCATCTGCTAGCTGGAATGTGGTAGTGGCTAATCAAGCTTGTCTAGGATAAGCCAATAGAAAATATGTACTTAAACAGATGTTCGGTCAATCTTTATCTTAAGCTTGATTGCTGTATTGTAGGTTAATCACTACTTGAGTATGTACTTCATCTCCTTGTCAGCTGAGAAAAAAACTGTTAGCAAAATTAAAACTGCTGGAAATTGTGGTTCATGTGGTGGTCTTTCAAGAGTGAATGGCATACTTAGAGCAGTAACAAAGGTGATAATTAAAGTTGTGTAAGTGTTCTTATTGTAATACCCTGTTTTCAGTTGCTCAGGACTCCTCAAAACTTTTCTCTATGAATATGTAATTTTTCCAGGCCTTATTTCTGCCGTTTTTTTAAAGCGTGAAAGAAACTGTTCTGCTGTTTTGAAGGAGTATAGCTAAAAGCCCCAAACCTTTCCCTATAAGTTTGGGAAACCTTTTTGGATAGCTTTCTGCTGCAACAATTTTTGTAATAAAATTAACATTTGGCAAGGAGATAAATCATTAAGAATCTTTGAATATTCCAGTGAAAATTGGTTAGATTGTTTTTAACTGAGTTATGAACAATTGATCATAGCACTTTGTGCATATAGGTACTCTGGGGCTACTGCTTTTAGTGCATTTACCAGTGTTCTAAGTAATAGAAAAATTATCACTGCTCATCTTTTATATAAACTATCTCAATTCACTCTTTCTGGCATAAATAATAAGTAGTGCCCATTATTAAAAACTGCTAACATTTGTGTATACACGCTAGAAAAAAGTATATTGTTTCATTAATGTTTTTTATTTATTTTAGATTTCAGCAATAAACCATTCAGAAAGTGTTAGGCAGCCTAGTAATTAAACTTAAAATACAATGACCACCTAGCATCATTATTCATGTTAACACTTTAACTTAGCCAGCCAGTAAATCAAACTAACAGAGTTGTTGCTTTACATGCCCTCCTTCCCCTCAAGTGTCCCCTAAAACCCACTCAAATAATATTGTACTATTTGAGAAAAAGTATAGGATCACATAATTGGACTAATCATAATATATACACAAGTGGTAGAGCTAAGGTTGCACATACAAACTTGGGCTTTCCTGATGAGTTGTAACTGCAACTGTAACAATATTTATTATTTAAAAATATAATGCATATTTATCTATTTTTACTTATAACAGTTGTCTCATTTGTATTCTAAATGCTGGTGGTCAGCTGAATTTCTTTTGCTTTTATTTTTGCCATTTTAATAGTCTGATCTGGTAAAATAATCATCAAAGACTTGATCCTGGCTTCTGGTTTATTGGTCTGCATTGGCAGATGTGTTGCATTGTAAAAGCGGGTAGTCTGCACCTGTACATCAACCAATTTTCTAATAGCTCTCAGGAATGTGTGTTCATAAGGGGAGAATTGAGCTTGAAGTGTTAGAAAAAAGGTTGCTTAAAGTTTCGTTTGCTAAAAGTACAATTTATTCAGACTACATTGATATTTGGTGGAAATAAAGTTATTGTACCTTTACAAAAATTTTCATAACTATTGTTGACCTACTCCTCTTTACAATATCTGTGCCCCTTTAAAACTCACTTCACTGAAGTGAGGATAGTTTTGATATGGAAAGTATTCCTAATGAGCTATATCCTGCCTTTTGGCATCGTTTGAGTTTTAATGGGAAGATCCTAGCATGTTCAGATGTTCAAAACAACATTGCAAATTCCCTGTGAAAATATTTTAATATTCCATGTGATACTAATTGCTGATTAAAGCAGAATCCTAGGTGTCTGGGCCGCATAGTTGGAAAGACCAGTGTAGTAGGGAAGCAAAGCAGTGGAGCACTGCACAGCTGATTGCTGCAACTTGACTGTGCTGCCTTACTTGGAAGGAAGATTAGTGACTGGGCAGTACAACAGTCTGTCAGGCTGTGAGAGTGATTTTTGGAGGCAGAATTAGAGGGCATAGGTTTGGGGATGGATCACAAATTTGGTGTATCCAGGCTCTTCTTAGCATTAAACCATCTATCTGATGCTTTCTGTGTGAAATTATATTTTCTGCTTTAGTTGTTGGTACAATTAATATTCAAAACAGTAATCTCCATCTCAATGGAGTGTTTACTTAGCAGAATTGGTGTTCAACTGAAAAACATATTTTTCCTCTTTCTCAGCAATCTAGCTGTTTAAAGCTGTTGCTCTTTGAAATACTTTATCTTAGGAACTCTGAAACCAGAATCAAGTTAACTGTTGTCTGGTATTGGTGCAGTTGTCTTTGCTAATGAGTAAAATGTTATCTTCCTTTTTCACTCTGTTTTTCAGTTGGTATTGTAGATTCATCGCATCCTGTAAGCCAGAATGTTCAGTTTACCAAGCCTGGTGTGGAAACATCTGTTGTTTCTTCTGCTGTGACCTCTTCAATAAGAACACCTGTTGGAGACCACTTAACTGAACCTGCTTCTGTGCCTTCCAATACACAGCCATCGGAATCACTGCTTCAAGAAGGTATTAAAAGCAAGAGGAGAGTTAGCTTATTTTAGAATACATAATAGTAACTTAACTTTTAATATTTATCAAGGTTTTAATAGTTTTAGTTTTTATTTTCTCTTTTTTTTTTCCTGTTGACAAAACATATCTGACAGTGAGCATCTAGGGCAAGTCTCTGTTTTGTCTTATTCATAGATTCATAGATTCTAGGACTGGAAGGGACCTCGAGAGGTCATCGAGTCCAGTCCCCTGCCCGCATGGCAGGACCAAATACTGTCTAGACCATCCCTGATAGACATTTATCTAACCTACTCTTAAATATCTCCAGAGATGGAGATTCCACAACCTCCCTAGGCAATTTATTCCAGTGTTTAACCACCCTGACAGTTAGGAACTTTTTCCTAATGTCCAACCTAGACCTCCCTTGCTGCAGTTTAAGCCCATTGCTTCTTGTTCTATCCTCAGAGGCTAAGGTGAACAAGTTTTCTCCCTCCTCCTTATGACACCCTTTTAGATACCTGAAAACTGCTATCATGTCCCCTCTCAGTCTTCTCTTTTCCAAACTAAACAAACCCAATTCTTTCAGCCTTGCTTCATAGGTCATGTTCTCAAGACCTTTAATCATTCTTGTTGCTCTTCTCTGGACCCTTTCCAATTTCTCCACATCTTTCTTGAAATGCGGTGCCCAGAACTGGACACAATACTCCAGCTGAGGCCTAACCAGAGCAGAGTAGAGCGGAAGAATGACTTCTCGTGTCTTGCTCACAACACACCTGTTAATACATCCCAGAATCACGTTTGCTTTTTTTGCAACAGCATCACACTGTTGACTCATATTTAGCTTGTGGTCCACTATAACCCCTAGATCCCTTTCTGCCGTACTCCTTCCTAGACAGTCTCTTCCCATTCTGTATGTGTGAAACTGATTTTTTCTTCCTAAGTGGAGCACTTTGCATTTGTCTTGGTTAAACTTCATCCTGTTTAACTCAGACCATTTCTCCAATTTGTCCAGATCATTTTGAATTATGACCCTGTCCTCCAAAGCAGTTGCAATCCCTCCCAGTTTGGTATCATCCGCAAACTTAATAATCGTACTTTCTATACCAATATCTAAGTCGTTAATGAAGATATTGAACAGAGCCGGTCCCAAAACAGACCCCTGCGGAACCCCACTCGTTATGCCTTTCCAGCAGGATTGGGAACCATTAATAACAACTCTCTGAGTACGGTTATCCAGCCAGTTATGCACCCACCTTATAGTAGCCCCATCTAAATTGTATTTGCCTAGTTTCTCGATAAGAATATCATGCGAGACCGTATCAAATGCCTTACTAAAGTCTAGGTATACCACATCCACAGCTTCTCCCTTATCCACAAGACTCGTTATCCTATCGAAGAAAGCTATCAGATTGGTTTGACATGATTTGTTCTTTACAAATCCATGCTGGCTGTTCCCTATCACCTTACCACCTTCCAAGTGTTTGCAGATGATTTCCTTAATTACTTGCTCCATTATCTTCCCTGGCACAGAAGTTAAACTAACTGGTCTGTAGTTTCCTGGGTTGTTTTTATTTCCCTTTTTATAGATGGGCACTATATTTGCCCTTTTCCAGTCTTCTGGAATCTCTCCCGTCTCCCATGATTTTCCAAAGATAATAGCTAGAGGCTCAGATACCTCCTCTATTAGCTCCTTGAGTATTCTAGGATGCATTTCATCAGGCCCTGGTGACTTGCAGGCATCTAACTTTTCTAAGTGATTTTTAACTTGTTCTTTTTTTATTTTATCTGCTAAACCTACCCCCTTCCCATTAGCATTCACTAGGATAGGCATTCCTTCAGACTTCTCGGTGAAGACCGAAACAAAGAAGTCATTAAGCATCTCTGCCATTTCCAAGTTTCCTGTTACTGTTTCTCCCTCTTCACTAAGCAGTGGGCCTACCCTGTCTTTGGTCTTCCTCTTGCTTCTAATGTATTGATAAAAAGTCTTCTTGTTCCCCTTTATTCCCGTAGCTAGTTTGAGCTCATTTTGTGCCTTTGCCTTTCTAATCTTGCCCCTGCATTCCTGTGTTGTTTGCCTATATTCATCCTTTGTAATCTGTCCTAGTTTCCATTTTTTATATGACTCCTTTTTATTTTTTAGATCATGCAAGATCTCGTGGTTAAGCCAAGGTGGTCTTTTGCCACATTTTCTATCTTTCCTAACCAGCGGAATAGCTTGCTTTTGGGCCCTTAATAGTGTCCTTTTGAAAAACTGCCAGCTCTCCTCAGTTGTTTTTCCCCTCAGTCTTGATTCCCATGGGACCTTACCTATCAGCTCTCTGAGCTTACCAAAATCCGCCTTCCTGAAATCCATTGTCTCTATTTTGCTGTTCTCCCTTCTACCCTTCCTTAGAATTGCAAACTCTATGATTTCATGATCACTTTCACCCAAGCTGCCTTCTACTTTCAAATTCTCAACGAGTTCCTCCCTATTTGTTAAAATCAAGTCTAGAGCAGCTTCACCCCTAGTAGCTTTTTCAACCTTCTGAAATAAAAAGTTGTCTGCAATGCAGTCCAAGAATTTGTTGGATAGTCTGTGCCCCGCTGTGTTATTTTCCCAACATATATCCGGATAGTTGAAGTCCCCCCCCACCACCAAATCTTGGGCTTTGGATGATTTTGTTAGTTGTTTAAAAAAAGCCTCATCCACCTCTTCCACCTGGTTAGGTGGCCTGTAGTAGACTCCTAGCATGACATCACCCTTGTTTTTTACCCCTTTTAGCCTAACCCAGAGACTCTCAACACTTCCGTCTCCTATGTCCATCTCTACCTCAGTCCAAGTGTGTACATTTTTAATATATAAGGCAACACCTCCTCCCTTTTTCCCCTGTCTATCCTTCCTGAGCAAGCTGTATCCATCCACACCAACATTCCAATCATGTGTATTATCCCACCAAGTTTCAGTGATGCCAACAATGTCATAGTTGTATTTATTTATTAGCACTTCCAGTTCTTCCTGCTTATTACCCATACTTCTCGCATTTGTATATAGGCATCTAAGATACTGGTTTGATCTTTCCTCCCGGTTTTGTCCTGACCCTCCTTTCTCTCTGCCAATATAGCCCACACTCCCTCTCGTCTCCGACCCATCTCCCAGGTCTCCATGTTCCCCACTTACCTGCGGGCTTTGCTCACCTGTCCCCGTCGAACCTAGTTTAAAGCCCTCCTCACTAGGTTAGCCAGTCTGTGTCCAAATAGGGTCTTTCCCCTCCTCGAAAGGTGAACACCATCTCTGCCTAGCAATCCTTCCTCAAATAGCATCCCGTGGTCTAGGAAGCCAAAGCCCTCCTGGCGACACCATCTTCGCAGCCAGGCATTCACCTCCATGATGCATCTGTCTCTGCCCGGGCCCCTACCTTTGACAGGAAGAATCGAAGAGAATACCACCTGCGCTCCAAACTCCTTCACCCGTACTCCCAGAGCCCTGTAGTCACTCTTGATCCGCTCAGTGTCACACCGCGCAGTATCATTTGTGCCCACATGGATGAGTAGCATGGGGTAGTAGTCAGAGGGCTGGATAATCCTCGACAATGCCTCCGTAACGTCTCGGATACGGGCTCCCGGCAGGCAGCATACCTCCCGAGATGAAATGTCAGGGCGACAGATGGGCGCCTCCGTCCCCCTCAGCAGAGAGTCTCCGACCACCACTACTCTACGTTTCCTATTCGCAGTGGTGGCAGCAGACCTCCCAGCCTTAGGGGTACGAGGCTTCTCCTCCTTTACTGTAGGGGGTGATGCCTTCTTTCCTGTATCAAGAAGAGCATAACGGTTACCTATTACCACAGCGGGAGGGTTCGGAGGGTCTTGATTTCTTTTTTTTAAAAGCACAATTTGAATTGTCTTTTTTTTTTTTTTTTTAATAGACCTATTTGCAACTTGTCCTATATACATTTATGTATAGGGTTTATAGTAGGGTTTTTGCTTTCTGTTGAAACCCCTCAGGGCACCCCTTGCTGCATCCTTTCAAAATGCTGTGTACCGTTATCTTGTGTCTGCATTTATTCTGTTTCCATTCTCCTCTCTCACCCATTTTTTGATCTTTTTTTACTGTTTTTATTTTTACTTCCCCTCCCTTAGTCATTCCTGGCTATTCCAGTTCCCTAATTCGCCAAAAGGCCATGTGCTGTTTGGGTAGTGTGCATCCATTGGTGATTCTGTGGGATCTGGTCACGTGCTGTTGCAGCTGATCTATGTTTGAAAAGCAGACATAAAAAAAACTTGGGCTGGGGAGCTGTTTCCTGAGCCTGTAGCCCTATGTAAACTGCTCCTGTGGCAAGCTGCAATAGGGACTGTTGTAGGAGCAGGGAGGTAAGCTTTCAAAGAAGCTTCTTGGTGCTTTACTCATGGCAGCACATTTGTAGTGGGGAACTGGAATGAATCTAGGCTCTTGCACCTTCATCATCCTCACTGATTCTCAGTGGTCTCTTCTGGCTTGCCTTCCAAGTTGTAAAACACTACATTATGTATAGATGGAGATTCCAGTTTCCATATTCCTTTTTTTTTTTTTACACATTTGCAGTGTTTTCTCTTGGCTACTTTAGTGCTCTGTAACTTCCTACAAAATAACATTTTAATATATTTGTTTAAATGGTGAACACATAAATTTGAGCAGATACCAGTTGTTTCAGTTACAATAAAATATGTGCAGGTTTAAAAAAATTCTCAAAAGCTTTTAAATCTTAAATACTTGGCTCTGATACAGTGTTTTCATACATAGGTCTCAAAGCCCTTTTGTAATCTGTGTTATGATCCCCATATTTATCAATGAATAAAAAACCTAGGAAAATCCATTAAAGTAATCTATTGTCTATCAACTGGACTTTTATCCCCCAATCATGCAGAGATGAATACTATTAATTGTTTGAAAAGTACTGTCCCCACACTAAATCTTTTTAAAATCATTACACAAAGTGATGTTTGTGGAAATTGATTTGCAGCTGCCGTTTGGTTAATGGAGTTTGCTACAGCACAGTGTTCCT